CTGCATGGTTCGCAAGCAGCAATCTTATATGCAGCATGCTCCCGCACACAGCGCAGTATGTCATGCAGCAAGCAGCAGATGACCTGCGTCAGCTCCGCTTGCAGGACTGGATGCGCTGGCGAGGCAGAAGCGTGCTGAGCGTGGGGAGCCGGAAGGTACAGCCGCAGTTGACGCTTGGCACAGAAACACTTGTTATTACCAGCATTAAGTTCACTCCTGGCGGGGTGAAGACATCAGCGTTGTCAAGGGAACAGCACCTGTTACTGCATGAGCAGCTGTGCTGCAGCATGGTGCATGGTGCTGCTGGTGTTTGCAGGAGGAGCCAGAGAGTTGCTTTACGGTCTTTGCACCAGCATGGAGCATGCATGTGTGTGGCTGTGGCAGCATGTCATGCGCCTACAGCAATTGCTAATGGCTTTTGAAACGGAAATGCAGCAGTTGACGTGGCCAGGCTGGCAGCTGCACGAGCTGGGGTGCCTGCAGTGCAGTTGCACTGTTGCATGCGCCAAAAGGAGCCGCGCAGCACAGTACGTGTGACTGTAGTGCTTGTCGGTGCTGCTCAATGGCCCGGCATGCTGCACTCAGGTGGTGCAGCGCTTCAGCATGCCCAGCAGCTCAGGCCCAGCAGCTCAGGGGTTCCATGGGCGATGGTCCCATACTGAGGTTCAACTGCCTGCCTGTGACCCCGCCTACCGCTGCCCTGCTGAACGCAACTCTCTTTCTGTCCCGCAGCAGCAGCAAAACGGCCCAAGCTCGCGTTTGAACAAGCGGATGATGAGCCGGACAACAGCAGTGCTGCTGCTGCCAGCACAGCGACAGCAGCAGGCGGCAGCAGCGGCAGCCAGCAGCAGCAGCGGCGGTTCCGTGGCCAGCGGCTGGACACGCCGTCCCACCCCGGGGGCGTCACCTCTGAAGCTCGAGAGAGCCTGGATGCAGCGAAGCAGCGCCAACGGGAGCGCGACCGCAGCGGCGTCTTTGCAAGCACGGGCTTGGGCCGGGAGCGCGAGGGAGAAGCCGACAGGGAGAGGGACAGGGACAGAGGTAGGGGCGGCAGCAGGTGGGACAGCGGCGGTGGCGGCAGTGGCAGCAGGTACGATGGGGACGGAAGTAGAGCCGGCGGCAGCAGCAGAGACAGAGACAGGGACAGGGACAGGGGCAGGGAGCGGGAGCGCGGCCGGGACAAGGCGGACAGGGACAGGGGAAGGGCTGGAGGCTCTGAGCGCCACGACAGCAGGGATGGGGGCAGCAGCAGGCCACACAGCAGCAGCAGGGAGCAGCAGCAGCGCCGGGACGGTGGCGGCGGCAGCAGCAGGCACCACGGCAGCACCTGGGAGTCTGCGACGCCGCTGCGCCGCGTCGAGGAGTCGGACTGGGACATGACCCCGGCGCGGCCGGGCGGAGGGGGCCAGGGCGCTGGCGAGACTCCGTGCCGCGACGCGCGCGCTTCCGCTGCCCCTTCCCCGTGGGAGCCCGAGGGCTCGGCGGGGCTGAACGCCCGCACCGGCAGCAGCAGCAGGGGCGCGGGCGGGCGCAGCAGCCACGCCTCCACCGCGGGCGGCGGCTGGGGTGGCGGCGCGTCCACAGCGGACCTGCCGACGGCGGCCAGGCCTGGCAGCAGCGTGCGCGCGGGCGCTGGCGGTGCAACAGGAGCCAGCGGCACCGGCGCCGGCGCTGCGTCTGTCGGCCGCGTACGTTTTGAGGTGGAGCAAAGCCCCGCGCTGACGCCGACCTGGAAGAGCACGAGCTGGGCGCGGCAGCAGAAGCCCGGCGGCGCTGCTGCGGGCGCTGGGGACGGCGGCGGCGAGTCGCCGGTGCTGGGCGAGGGCGGCGACGACGGCGCTGCCGGCTTTGACGACGCGCTCAAGTGAGTGGCAGGGGAGGCATGGCGGCGGCTGGGTGAGGATACTTTCGGGCTTCCTTGCTGCGCTGCTTGCTTGCTTGTTTGGCGTGTCCCGGTGTGCTTTCGTGCTGCTGACAATTGGTACGCCAGTGCTGTTGTCAGCGCAGGTGGCTGCCAGGCGCCAAGTGAGTTGTAAACACCTGCTGCTTGCAGTCTGTTGATGTTGCTGCATTGCTGGTGCCAGCGGCGAGCCCAGTGGACAATGCGCTTTTAACACTGCGTGTCGTTGCAGAGCCACCCACAACGTCTGCACGCACGTGTTGTTTGGTTCTTGTTCCTCGTCACGCATGTCAGAACAAATGCCACTGCTGTCTGCAACTGCTGTCATGTGCACAGACGGGAGGCTGAGTTGGAGGAGATCCAGATGGAGCGGGACTGGTACGATGCCGAGGAGTTTGGTGGCGCAAATGCGGCAGCAGCAGCGCACAACCCCTTCATCGGCGACGACGCGCTTTTCAAGAAGCGTGAGACGGAGATGACGCAGCGCATGAAGCGGCGCGACGGCACGTGAGTGCGCCTGGGGGCGCTGCCTTGTGCTGCACCGTCCTGCAGGGGCACCAGTAGTAGTTTGGCGGTTTGTCAAGTAAGCATGCAGTGTGTGGCTGTGCCAAGTTGTCGGCCCGCAATTGTGTGGTGACTCCCTTGGATGAGCTTCCTTGAGCGCTGTTGCCATCCAGCGGTGTGTGTCGCACAGTTGGCCATGGCTGTCATGCAAGCAACTCACGAGCAGCTTTCTGGCTGCCACATGTTATGTTCAAATTTGTTACGTGTCATGTCACATGCTTACCAAACAGTTCCTGCAGCTGCTGCGCCTGGCCATGGCATGCCCTTTGGAGTGGGATGGCGAGGAATTGCAGTCTTTGGGTCTCAGCCCCAGCAAACAAACAAGCAGGTGCTTGGGTTGCCTGTGTCACTGCGCGCCCCCGACCCTGGTGCTGACTGTTTGCGCTGCTGCTGCTGCTGCTGCTGCTGGCTGCTGCTGCTGCTGCTGCTGCTGCACGTGTGCGCGTAGTGTCATGAGCCTTGCTGCCAGCAAGCGTGCGAATGAGCTGGAAAAGGCGCTCAATGCCTGGGAGGACAACAGGCTGCTCACCAGCGGAGTGGTCAAGCTGCGGCAGGTGGGCGCGCCTAGCTGCCGGTTGTGTGTGAGGTGATCCTGGTGTCGCGTGGACTGCAGTAGCAGCCACGTCAGCTCTGAGTTCTGGTGATGGCAACGAGCGCTGCATGGTGTCCACTGTCATCTTCTCACTCATGGTCTCACCCGCTGTGCCACACTCTGTCGGCCCGTGCCTCGCGCATTGCCTCGCCCTGCGCCGCTCGCCGCCTGCCCTGCAGGTCAACCTCGACTTTGATGACGACGACGAGAGCCGCGTGCTGCTGCTGGTGCACGACACCAAGCCGCCCTTCCTGGAGGGCAAGGCCCTGAGCGGACGCGCGGCAGGCGTGGTGCTGCCCCTCAAAGACCCCACCAGCGACATGGCTGTCATTGCACGGTGAGCAGCACCATCGGCGCCAGCACAAACTTCAGCCGTAGGAATTGAAGCAGGAGTAGCGCATGTTGAGCCGCAGTCACCACCTGAGGCGGTAACAAACATCAACGGGCCATGGGAGTCCGGCCTTTCCCTAGCCAAGCATGGGTTGGGCAGTCGTCGGTGGTTACTTACACAAGCTGACAAGGCTCTGCTGGTGTGGCCAGGCAACCCAGGCACCCCAGCGACAAGGGTGGCTACCATGCTGCTTCCTCTGCAGCTCCTGGCATGAGCCCGAAGCGTGTCGTTGGTTTGCAAGTGGGTGCTCCTTGTATCAACAGTCCAGCAGGAGCCGGACTGTTGGAGGTGCACGAGGAGCAGCACCCCCCAGCGCATGCTGGACATTAGTAAAGTCACTTGAGTGTAGCCGCGCCTGCATTGCCACCCTTTGTGCAGGTATGTCTGTGGCCCTGGCCATAAATGTGCGGCAACGACGAGGGCAAGCAAGGCTGCGCATCCAACGCCTGGTACAAAGTGTCTTGTCTGCATGTCCTGATCATCCTTGTTGGTGCTGTTCATGCTTGCAGGAACGGCAGCACGCTGGTCAAGGAGGTGCGTGAGAAGAAGGACAAGGACAAGAGCAGGCTGCGCTTCTGGGACATGGCTGGCTCCAAGATGGGCCAGATCACAGGGCTGACAGGAGAGGAGGAGGCAGAAGCAGCAAAGAGGGCAGAGGAGGCGGTGAGTGCTTGTGGCGCTGCATGAGGCATGGCGGGCGTGTGTGGACGTCTGCTGCTAGGCTTGCTGCTTGGGCGTGGGGGGGCGTCAGAATTGGCCGCAAGCTTTGGAAAGCACAAAAAAGATGAGGGGGCAGAAGAAGGTTGAGAGCTGCTGCAGTAGTCACAAGAACATGCTTGGCTTGCCAGACTGCTACTGTACTGTATGTTGCTGCTTGTGATTGGCGGTCTTGGAAAAAGGTCATATGTGTGCTCGCACAGTGGGGCTGCTGTGCAGATGGCGATTGGGCCAGGTATTGCAAGCCCAGCATTGCACCCTGCGCGGCAAATTGACTCCCGTGTGCTGTCCTCGTGTGCTTCATGTACGTGCAGGCCGCAGCTGGGCTGGGCGACGCAGACGACGATGATGAGGCTGGCGGCAAGAAGGGCGGCCAGTTCCGCTCCCACCTGAAAAAGAGTGAGGCAGCCAGCGAGTTCAGCCGCACCAAGAGCATCGCGCAGCAGCGGCGCTCGCTGCCTGTCTACACAATTCGGGATGAGTTGCTGCAGGTGCGTGGTGATGGTGCTCTGTGGGTGTGACCAGTGACACCTACTGGCCAACCTGCTTGATCTGAGTTGATCATGTGATGTGTGTTCTGCGTGCTGCTGGTGTCTGCTCAAAGCATGGTGCTGCTTGTCAACTGCATGTATCTGCAAGGCCGCAAGGTAACTGGGACTTGTAGACATCATGCCTGCTTACAACACGAAGAAGAAGAACCTGGTTGCATGGTATGTGCATTTTTCACGAAATCGGCCGGGTTCGAACCGAGCACAACTTTGCACCTGTATATTGTAATGGTGCGTGAAGGTGAGGGCATCAGCTGCTTAATTCAGAATGATCCGACCAGCAACTTCGTCGCCGTAGTTTAGTGGTTAGAATTCCACGTTGTGGCCGTGGAGACCCCGGATCAAACCCGGGCGGCGACAAACTTTTGCTTTTTGTCTGATCATCTAAACCCGTGCTCGCCAGCTGCTCTCTTTCCAAATCTTCACTTCCTCCTTGTGCTTGTGTCTGTGAGTGATGCTTCTCTGTTCAATGGAGCTTGATCTGTCAGCTTTGATACTGATGGTGTGCCTGCGTTGCACATTGCCTGCACTCACAGGTGATCCGTGAGAACCCGGTGACCATCGTTGTTGGAGAGACTGGCAGCGGCAAGACCACACAGATGACGCAGTACCTGCATGAAGATGGCTACACCTCATTGGGGGTGATTGGCTGCACACAGGTGGGCTGTGGCGCCTTGCCCTGCGGTTGGCAGCTGGTGGCCACACATGTACAGCATGTGACGAGCGTAAGTTGCGGCTGAAGAAAGCACATGCATGTGCAAGCATCATTTTGGGGGTATGTGCATGTGTGCAGGTACCTAGCCAAGCCAACATGCAGCCGCAGCGGCTGCTTGTGGGCACTGCAACGGCGGGTGATGCACACTGCCAAGCTGCTTGCCGCTCATGCCGTGCCTGTGTGCTCTTTCCCCGGCATGCTGCTGCGCTGCAAGTGCCGGTCCGCTGCGCCTCCTTCCCGACCAACTTGCGCGCGGCGTGCCTTGCTTGCCACTTTCCCTCGCCTGCTCTACCTGCTGTTTTGTGCTACTGCAGCCGCGCCGCGTTGCAGCCATGAGCGTGGCCAAGCGAGTCAGCGAAGAGATGGGCGTGGAGCTGGGCCAGGAGGTGAGCCGCAACCCCCCGGCACTGCAGCTGCTGAGTGCATGGTCAAGCTACGCATGGCGCCATTGTTGTTCACACACACGGAAATCAGGGAGGGGCCGTTTGCGAAATTACTAAGGTTTGGCGATGGCAAGATTTCCTGCGGGTGCATACCTCCTACCATTGCAGCTGCTTTGTATGTACTGCACCTGCTTATGGTGTAAAGCAGCTGCGCGTGATGCACTGAGCCGCTTGGTATGTGCTGCAGCTGCGGGTGGTGCGCTCGTCTGCTTGTAGGAAGCTGCAGCCGCTTTGTGGCGGGACTTCAGCGCCTGCCCTTGCCCCAGCCGCGCTGCACCAACAGCACACCCCTCGGACGCTCGGCCGCCTTGGTAGCCACTTGACTGCGCAGTCTCTCTGCAACCCTGCCGGTTCTTTCCTGCTGCTTCCTTGTGCCTGGCCAGGTGGGCTACGCCATCCGCTTTGAGGACTGCACCAGCGACAAGACCTTCATCAAGTACATGACGGACGGCGTGCTGCTGCGCGAGACGCTGTCCAGCGACGACCTGTTCCAGTACAAGGCCATCATCATGGACGAGGCCCACGAGCGCAGCCTGAACACAGACGTGCTGTTCGGCATCCTCAAAAAGGTGTGGCTGCTGTGCTGAGACAGTACAGCAACATCCTAAGGGGGGTGCTTGACACTTTGAAACACATGTTGCACCTTGTTACTGTCACTTGCTACTAAAATTAGGTGTAATAAGCATTCTCTGTGTGCTGGTGCAGCAGTGCCGGTAGCCACTTGTACTGGCCCTTATGCAGCTCAACAGGGTGTTGTGCTGGAGTAGTGATGTTGATCTGAACACGCTGATTGTGATGATGCACGCGTGCTGCATGGCTGCACCATACGGGAGTCCTTCAGTGCCCTACACAATCGCCCACACTCCCAAAAGCCCCACACACAGATTGACATGTGCTGCTGTCGTGCATGCCTTGTGCCCATGACGCAGGTTGTGGCGGCGCGTGCTGACTTCAAGCTGATAGTGACATCCGCCACGCTCGACTCCCAGAAGTTTGCCACGTTCTTTGGCAACGCGCCCGTGTACACCATCCCCGGGCGCACCTTCCCTGTCGACACGCTGTGGAGCAGGACGCCCCAGGAGGACTACGTGGAGGCAGCGGTGAAGCAGGTGGCCTGCGGCTGGCTGCAGCAACATCCGACACACCAGCTGCTCTGTAGACGTGGCGTGTGGAGTTCGCGCAGCATGAGGGCGGGAAAACCGACCAGGTGTGATGCTGCCAGCCGGCCGGCTTGGCGCTGTTTGTCTTGTCCCCGCTCTTCATGGCAGCGGTGTCCAGCTCGATCAGCTTGCAGGAACATGTCATTGCTGCACTCTGCTGTCCGTATCTGCTACAGCTGGTGCTGCCAGCGGGGCCTGAGGGCTGGCTGGCTGGCTGGCTGGCTGGCGGCTGGCTGGCTGGCTGCATGGCTGGCTGCACGGCGGCTGGCTGGCGGCTGGCTGGCTGGCTGCATGGCTGGCTGCATGGCGGCTGGCTGGCGGCTGCATGGCGGCTGCATTATGTTCATTGGTGCGGCGCAGGCAGAGGCATCTGCCTGTGTGCAGCTGGCACTCATTCTGCCTGTGTTGCTTGCCGCCTGGCCGCTGCTCGACTGTCCGTGTGTGTGCCGGCAGGCGCTGGCTATCCACCTGCGTGATCCCCCTGGGGACATCCTCATCTTCATGACAGGTGCGCATGTGCCGCTGTACATGGTTTTGCCCCAACACACGCGCACACATGGGGAAGGTCGCATGGGCAGGCTTGGGCACGCTCGTGCTCGCATGTCGTGCCCCCGTTTAGTCGCAGCCCAGGTGGTGTTTGCACTGCCTAGCTTGCAACACCTCGTGCTGCGTCAGCTCTGTATGTTCTGATTTGTGTTCACGCACACTCACATGGCTACCACCTCATCTGCATGACATGCCTGTGTGCATGTGTGTGCATGAAGTTGCAGCTATCCACAACACTGCGTGCCCTGTGTGCAGCTTCAGCACAGCCACGTGATACAATCTGCAGTGCTGGGCATTCCAGCCGTTACACCCCACATTTGCCGAGATGCGTGCGTGCGCCCTTGTCGGGCTACCGGCTTGTTGCCGTCCGCAGTTCTTATCACCAGTGCTTGCACCAGCACCGACTGCGCAGACTTCAGCACTAATTGAGCATTTGCTGCCCCCTGCCGGCGGCTGTGTAACTGACATGTGATAACATGTTTTAACACCCTGCAGGCCAGGAGGAGATTGAGGCGACCTGCTTTAGCCTGAGTGAGCGGCTGGACCACATGCGCAGCGGCGGGCAAGACGTGCCGGAGCTGATGATCCTGCCAATCTACAGCCAGCTGCCCAGCGACCTGCAGGTGTGGCCGCTTGCAGGGCGTATGCATCAGCTGAGGCTTGGGTTGGCTTGTGTTGGACTCGCTGTGGGCTGTCAAGCAAGGTGGCGAGGGCCAGCGCTCCAGGACGATCCCGGTTTGCTTGCAAACCTCACACATCCATTTACAGCAGCAGCAGCAGCAGCAGCAGCAGCTGACAAGCCACAGCCAGCTGCACGGCTCGCTGCATGCGTGCAGCCGCCGTTGCGCATGGTGCTTGTGTTTGGGTATTTCTTGGATGTGTGCACCTGTTCCCGCGGGTTGCACCACCTCCACCACATCTAGTACCCCAACCACCACAGCATTGCTGGTTCCTTCTGCTGCAGTCGCAGCCACCGCCACGTCAGCAAAGCTTTAACAGTCCCAACAGCGGTGACACACCCCTTTGAAGCCTCGAGCATTCTGGCTGCGACCTGCACATCCCCTCGTCGCGAGGCCACAGCGCCAACTGCTAGGCTGTTCCTGTCTTTCTGACACTTGCACGGCTGCCTCCTCCCGCTGCTGCTGCTGCTGCTGCTGCTGCTGCTGCCTGGCAATTCCAGGCAAAGATCTTTGACAAGGCACCGGATGGCACGCGCAAGTGCATCGTGTCGACCAACATTGCGGAGACCAGCCTGACTGTGGACGGCATCTACTACGTCATCGACACTGGCTACGTGAAGATGAAGGTGTACAACCCTAAGATGGGCATGGACGCCCTGCAGGTGAGCGCAGCACCCAACCACGCTCATCGTTATGTCGACTGTTCACATGCTTGAAAGTGTGTTCGAGGTGTCTTTGCATCAGGCAGCAGCTCAGGAAGGGCACATCTACGCTGCAGGTGCGTGCAGCGCTTGGTCCTGCTGACTGATGGTGTGACTGTTGCGTGCGCTGTTGTGTTGGCTTGGTGCCGAGCTGCCACACGTGCTGTGCCTGTTGTCGGCTGGCTGACTTGCCTGCTGCCATCGTTGTGAGTCAGGGCTCGCCTCATCTGTGCTGTTTGTGCCTGGCTTGCCCAGTGACTCCTGGGACTGGCCATGTCAAGCTGCGCGTGTTGCTCCAACACCTGCCACCCTCGCATTGCCTGCATGCCATGTGTGTGCGCGTGTGTTGCTGCTGCTGCTCTTCATCTCTGCGCTGCCTGCACCACACCGCAGCTGTTGCGGAGTAGCTGCGCAGCAGCAAACCGCCACTGTGCCGGTTGTACCCTCAGCTGTACTGTGTAGCTCACTGCTGCTCTGTGCCGCGTTGTCTGATGCACGGCGCAGGTGTTTCGTGAGAGCTGCGCAGCAGCAAACCTCCACTGTGCCGGTTGTATCTTAAGCTGCACTGTGCTGCTCTGTGCGATGTTGTTTCTAGCACGGCGCAGCTGTTCCCTGAGAGCTGGGCGACAGCAAACCACCACTGTGCCGGTTCTGCCCTAACCTGTACTGTGCTGCCCTGTGCCGCGTTGTCTGATGCACGGCGCAGCTGTTCCCTGAGAGCTGGGCGGCAGCAAACCACCACTGTGCCGGTTCTCCCGTAAGCTGTACTGTGCTGCCCTGTGCGGTGTTGTTGCCTGATGCGCGGCGCAGGTGTTCCCTGAGAGCCAGGCCGCGGCCAACCAGCGCTCGGGGCGTGCAGGGCGCACGGGCCCCGGCACGGCCTACAGGCTGTTCACGGAGTCGGCCTTCAAGCACGAGATGCTGGTGAGCGGCGTCGCTGTGCATTGCGGGGCAGCCGGCAGTTGGCGCGGTCGGCGGTTGTTTTCCTGTGCTGATGCACACGCCCAGCTGCACCCGCCACGCCTCCACGCATGGCGTGCTGGTTGAAATTATTTGTGAGCGCTGGTGAAGGAAAGTGTTAGTGCTGGCGCTGGCCGCATCTTTTGCCGCGGCGT